GGAATGAAAAAATATCGTTAACGGGGGTCCACTGTATATATATATACTTCTATTTACACTTAGGTCACACTACATGTACATGAACAAGCATATATATACATACCCCTCTGGGTTTTCTTCTATCTTCTTTCTAGTTCTTGTTCTTGTCTATTTCCTCTTATCTCCATGGGGAAGTGGAACAGAATTCTTCCTCCGTAAGCCATGCGTGTTGTAAGAGGTGACTAAAATGCCGGGAGCAAGGGGCTAGTAACCCCTTCTCCTGTATATATTACTAAATGTGAAAGGAGAAACTTTTGTTTTTCCTTTTGGGCCACCCCACCTCGGTGGGATACGGCCAGTGTGTTGAAAGAAGAAGAAGAAAGGATTGCTGGTGTAATTTTTTGTCTCATGAACATGCAAGATTTCAGGTACGTCTTGCTACCTCTACTCATACTTAGGTCATACTACACATACATGTACAAGCATATATATACATACCCCTCTGGGTTTTCTTCTATTTTCTTTCTAGTTCTTGTTCTTGTTCATTTCCTCTTATCTCCATGGGGAAGTGGAACAGAATTCTTCCTCCGTAAGCCATGCATGTTGTAAGAGGCGACTAAAATGCCAGGAGCAAGGGGCTGGTAACCCCTTCTCCTGTATAAATTACTAAATTTAAAAGAAGAAACTTTTTTCTTTTTCTTTTTGGGTCCCCCTGCCTCGGTGGGATACGGCCGGTTTGACGAAAAAAAAAAAATATATATATATATATATATATATATACACACCCCGCTGTTAAACTATGAATTATGGGTTGCCCTTTTTTTATGACACTTTTAACCTTAAAGTATTTTGTCTCAACCTCCTCCCAGAGGTTACACGCAAGTGTCTGACAATAGCATAGAAGCTACACTTGCAATATTCCATCAAATTACATATATAAAAAAGGTGTGAAATTTCAATGTGAAGGAATAAATGGGAGCAGGTTGGGTGTATCCAAGAAAATAAGAGCTAAATAAGTAGCTGCAGTAATATTAACTGATAAATTATGCAAGGAAAAGAACTAGTGGATTAGAATAAAGGTGGGATGAAAGAAGTAGATCACAGCAAGGGTTCATGTATCCAGGTTGAGAGCAGTGAGGGAGGTAGAAAGAAGGGGGAAGAGAGAGAGAGAGAGAGAAAAGAGAGAGAGAGAGAAAAGAGAGAGAGAGAAGAGGGGAGAGAGAGAGAGAGAGAGGAGGGAGAGGAGGGAGAGAGAGGAGGGAGAGAGAGGAGGGAGAGAGAGGAGGGAGAAGGGGAGAGGGAGGAGAGGAGGGAGAGAGAGGAGAGAGAGAGAGAGAGAGAGGAGAGAGAGAGAGGAGAGAGAGAGAGAGAGAAAAGAGAGAGAGGAGAGGAGAGAGGAAGAGAGAGAGAGAGAGAGGAGAGAGAGGAGAGAGGAGGAGAGAGAGAGAGAGGAGGAGAGAGAGAAGGGAGAGAGAAGAGGGAGAGAGAGAGGAGAGAGAGGAAGAGAGGAAGAGAGAGAGGAAGAGAGAGAGAGAGAGGAGAGGGGAGAGAGAGAGGAGAGAGAGAGAGAGAGAGAGGAAGAGAGAGAGAGAGAGAGAGGGAGAGAAGGGGGGAAAAGAGAGGGAGGAGAGAGGAGGGGGGGAGAGGGAGGGAGGGGGGGGAGAGGAAGGGAAGAGGAGGGGGGGAGGGAGATAGAGGAGAAGGGGGAAGGGGGAAGGGAGGAGGGGAGGAAAGGGGAAAACTTTTTTTAGGCAAAGACGGGAGAAGCAAAACCCATTGGGAACCCCCCTAGAACATCCCCTCGAGAAAAACAAAAGGGATGAAAGAGGGAAAGCTTTGTCGAAATGAAGTCAACAAATTTAAAGTAGTTGTAAAGAAAACGGAAAGGGGTCCATATGCCCTAGATATTTTAAAAAATAAAAATTTTTAAAGGCGAGTAGAACAGTCTTAGTTCCAAAAGTTAGGAACCCCTTAACCCTTAATAAAGGTAAATAAGGGGGACCTTAACCTTGTCAAAGGTAAAAAAAAAAAAAAAAAAAAGAGGGGAAAAGAAAGGGGGAAAATAAAAGAGAGGGAGGAGGAGAGGAGGGAGGAGGGGGAAGGGGAGGGGAGGAAGGGGAGGGAGGGGGGGAGGGGAAAGGGAGGGGAAAAGGGAGGGAGGGAGGAAGAGGAAGGGGGGGGGGAAAAGGGAGGGAGGAAGGGGGGAGGGAGGGGAAGAGAAGAGGAGGGGAGAGAGGGGGGAGAGAGGGAGGAAGGAGGGGAAAAAAGGGGAAGGGAAGGGAGGAGAGAGGGGGGAGGAGAGAGAGGAGAAGAGAGAGAGGGAGGAGGGAGAGGAGGGGGAGGAGGAGGAGGGAGAGAAGGAGGAGAGGGAAAAAAAAGGGAAAAGAGAGGGGGGGGGAAGAGGAGGGGAAAGGGAGAAAGGGGGGATAAGAAAGGGGGGAAAAGGGGGGGAAAGAAGGGGAAAAGAGGAGAAGAAGAGAAGGAGGGGGGGAAAAAGAAGGGAGAGGGGGGGGGAAAAGAAGGGGAAAGGAGGGGGAAGGGAGAGAAGGAGAAGGAAGGGAAAGAGCAAGAAGGGTTTTGAGGTAAACCCCAGTTGTAGTAGGAACCTTCCGTAATTAAAGTTCAAAAGCGGGACCTTAACCTGCCAAACCCTAAAAAAAAAAAAAGGGGAATAGGGGGAGGAGAAAGGGGGGAAAGGAAGGAGAAAAAGGGGGAGGGAGGGAGGAGGGGAGGGAAAAAAGGAGGGAGAAGAGAAAAGGGGGGGGAGGAAGAAGAGGGAGGGAGGGGGAAAGGGAGGGGGAAGGGGGAGAGAGGGAAGAGGGAAAGGAGGGGGGGGGGAAGGAGAGAAGGGGGGGGAGAAGAAAAGGGGAAGAGAGGGGGAAAAAGGAAGAGGAGGGGGAAAGGGAGGGGAAAAAAGGGGGGAAGGAGAAAAAGAAGGGGGAAAAAAGAGGGAAGAAGAGAAAAGAGGGGGGGGGGAGGGGGGGGGGGGAAAGGAAAAGGGGGTGGGGGGGGGAGGGGAAAAGAAGGAGGGAAGAGGAAGGGAAAGAGAGGAGAGGAAAAGAGAGGGGGGGAAGGGACTGATGAGAATGACTATTGTAGGAAAGTCTTACTTCCCAAAATAAATTGGGGAAACCTTTTAATGAATATAGCGTCCTTTAAAACGGGGGAACCTTTAACCTTGAAACCCGGTTTAAAAAAAAAGGAGTAGAGGGAGGAGAGAGAAGAGGAAAAGAGGGGAAGAAGAGAAAAAGGAGAGAAAAGAGAGAGAGAGAAGAGAGAGAGAGGGAGAGGAAGAGAGAAGAGAGAGAGAGAAGAGGGGAGGGGGAAGAAGAGAGGAAAAAGAGAGGGGAAAAGAGAGAGAGAGAAGAGAGGGGAGAAAGAGAGGAGAGAGAGGGGAGGAGGAGAGAAAGAGAGAGAGGGGAAAGAGGAGGAGAGAAAGAGGGAAGAGAGGAAGGGGGAGAAGAGGGAGGAGAAGAAGAGGAGAGAGAGAGAAAGAGAGGAAAAGAGAGAGGAGAGAGGAAGAGAGGAGAGAGAAAGGGAGAAGAGGAGGAGAGGAGGAGAGAGAGAGAGAGAAGAAAGAGAAGGGAGAGAAGAGAAGAGAAAGAGAGGAGAGGGAAGAGAGGAGAGAGAGAGGAAAAGAGAGAAGAGAAAAAGGGGAGAGAGGGAAGAAGAGAAGAGGAGAAAGAGAGGGAGAGGAGGGGGAGGAGAGGAGAGGAAGAGAAGAGAGAGAGAGAAGAGAGAGAGAGAGAGAAGAGAGAGAGAGAGGGGGAGAGAAAAAGGAAGGGAGAGGGGAAGAGGAGAGAGGAGAGAGAAGAAGGAGAAGAGAAGGGAGAGAAGAGAGGAGAGAGAAGAGAGAGAGAGAAAAGGAGAGAAGAAGAAGAGCTGGGAATGGCTTTTGTGGAAAACAGCTTTTAGCTTCCCAAAAAAGTTGGAATCCAAAAACCTGTAATTATTTCAATAAAGCTGGGGATCCTAACCTTGTAAAACCTGTGTAAAAAAAAAAAAAAAAAGGAGAGAGAAAGAGAGGAGAGAGAGAGAGAGAGGAGAGAGAGAGTAAATGAATGAATCCTGGATGATCTGTCATTTCAGCAAGCCTCAACACAGGAGAATGTGGCAGCCTTACTGTTATGTAAAAGGGCCCAAATATTGTAAAGTACCATATTTGGGATCCATTCGAGGACAGCGTAAAAGCAAGTTCTATACCACAAGAGGGGCAGAAAGCAGCAACTTCACTCTGGCTGTACCCTTCTCCCAACACCCTTTCATCTGAACTTTTATCCCCAGGATACACATGGAAACATTCATACAGCATTATGATGCAATGAGAAAAAGTCAGTGATAAAATGAAAATGCGGGCCCACAAAAGGGGCCCAAACTTCATCCTGTTTCCCTACTTGTATTCTCATAACAAAAAAAATGCTTTCAAATGACTGTGTAGGTAACGCTCTTAGCTTTCTAATAAAGTTAAAAATCCTAACCCTTTAAACAGCTTGTCAAAAAGCTGGGGTCTTAACCTAACCTTTCCCAAACCCCTGTGTAAAAAAAATTGAGAAAAAGTAAAAGGAGAGAGAGAGAAAAAAATGAAGAATGAGAGAGAGAAGAGAGAGAGAATGGAGAGAGAATGAGAGAGAAAAGAGAGAATAAATTTAGAGAATTAGAAAAAATTAGAGATTAGAGAGAGAGAAAGCAAAAAAGGCCCAAATTTCCCACGTACATCCAAAAAAAACATATATTTCGCAGAACTCCCTTTTTTCTATCAAATGAGGTAAAAACCCCCATTTTTCAATTTTCCACCATACAGTGTCAAATTTAGCAATTTTGCCAATTTCACAAAAATCCAAAGATCCCCAATTCCGAATGGGGTCCAGATAAAAAAGAAAACATTCCGGGCACAAAATGACTTTTTTTCTGTTCATTAGTCTTTCCCCAAAGGGCCCCCTCTTACATTTTTTGCTTTCCACTTTGAATTTTTATTCTCACAAAAAATAGAAGATTTACTGTTATGCATACTGCATTAGTTTAAAAAATTCCATAAATAATATTGGCGCACTTGCAAAAGAATATTAGACTCACCAGTTGACGTGTATTGGACGCTTGGCATGATTTGTTTACTTTTGAACTTTGGTAAAAATCGAACATTTCTGCTACTTTGAGCTGAATTTCAAGGTACTTTTCATTGTAAAACCAGTCAAAATCATCTCAATTTCTGTAATATGTCTTCCATTCTATAAAATGAGACCAAGAAAACTAGAATACAACAATAAATACCATACGAAAATACAGTGCAAAGTCGCTGTTTTATTCAAAAAACACGGTCAAAGTTTTTTTTTTCTCATTATGCACTGTGTGCTGCAGGATTTTTTTTATACTGTGCACACTGACCACATAGACCCATTCTTTCATATGTATGCCTACCAGCTTTCTCGCACTAGATTTGAGGGCGCTAGAATTTAGGCGTTCTAGTACGTCAAAAACCCTGGGTCGTAAGCTGTACCTAGTACGGCTGAAACCCTCAAAGGGTTAAAGAGGGCAAAGCAGATTGGACAGACAGACTTAAGACAGAGATGCTAAAAGCAGATGGGGCTATAATGTTGGTGTGGCTGGTATATTAGTTCAACAGATGCAAAAAAAAAAAAAAAAAAACTGAAGGTACTTAAGGCCTGGCAGAGAGCTTGCATAGTCCCTTTGAGAATATGAGAGAATGTATGTTATAGGAGGATAAGCCTGTTGAGTATACTAGGTCAAGTGTATGGCAGCATTATTACTGAAAGTGTTAGGGGCAAGACAGAAAGTAGGATTGCAGTGGAATTTAAGAAGTGAAGAATACTTAAATAAGGGTAATCTGTTTGTTGCATTTATAGATTTAGGAAAGTCAGATGACAGATTGGATAGTAAAGCAGTGCAGCACATACTGAAAATACAGTTACTCCTCACTTAACGACCTAGTTCCATTCCCAAGCGTAGGTCAGTAAGCGAATTGGTCATTAAGCGAAGAGTCGTCCCTTACTGATATTTCAAGCATGTTGTAACAGTAGTGGGTTTGTATCAATCATCTACTGATATTGTTTCAATATCACCTTTGCACCATTATAACATTTTTAGTATATTAAAATAGAACTAGGCATTAAAAAACAATAAACAAGTAAAATACACATACAGTACACTGGATGGAGACCTGGTTGTAAGTCTGAGTGGCCGTTAAACAGGTAGATCGTTAAGTAAGGAGTACCTGTGTATAAAATGGGAAGTAGGCTACTAGAAGCAGTAAAACTTTTATGTGGATAGTGAGGCTCAAGTTAGGGTATGCAGATGGGGATTATATTCCGGTAAAAGTAGGTCATAAACAAGAATGGGTTATGTCATCACTGTGGTTGATTAACACATTTATAGAGTGGTTTGTAAAAAAAGTGAATGCTATGAAGTTGAGAAGTGTGGGATTAGAAGATAACAAATGTGAGAGAAGTTAGGAGTTGTCACAGTTGCTCTTTGTTGATGACACAGTTCTTCTGGGAGATTCTCATGAAAAATTGCAATGGTGGTAGATGAATTTTAGAGGGAATGTAAAAGGAACTCATCAAAAAATTCTAAGGAAATTTTTCAAGGAAAACTTCACAAGACAAAAAACTAAATTGCAAAGCAAGCTACAAAATGATACTCGCCAACTAAATTTGTCCATATCCATTTGTGAAGTATATGTATAGTATATTCTTCCTCCGTAAGCCATGCGTGTCGTAAGAGGCGACTAAAATGCCAGGAACAAGGGGCTAGTAACCCCTTCTCCTGTATATATTACTAAATGTAAAAGGAGAAACTTTCGTTTTTTCCTTTTGGGCCACCCTGCCTCGGTGGGATACGGCCGGTGTGTTGAAAGAAAAAAGAAATGTATAGTATGTAAATAATGTACAGCCTCTCCTCAATGACGGAGTTCCGTTCCTAAGACCATGTCATTAAACGAATTCGCCGCTAAGTGAGGAGCATACTGTAATGGTAGTGGGTTTGTGTCAACCATCTTTGATATTGTTTTAATGCCACCTTTGCACCATTTATAACATTTCTGGTATATTTTTAAATGTTTATACAGCAGTGTACTGTATATTGACAAACAGAATAGAGGAAATCAGCTCTAATATACATTTTTTAGGTGTAAATACTGGTCAGAGAGCCCGTCGTAAGTCAGAGGTGTTGGTAAATGAGTACATCGCTAAGTGAGAAGAGGCTGTATTAGGTATGGCTAAGAGACTAAATATTAGCACTGAAAACTGAAATTCTTTAAGAGATAATAAAATTTTATTTAGATTTTTGGTGTCAAAGATAAACCAACTTTAACATGCATTCTATCACACTATTAATAATGGGCTTTACCATGCACCAGAATATACAAAAAAGCTTATGATTATAAACATTTGTCATAATTATGCTTTGCACTCCCTGTAAATCAAGGAACTACAATATAAAAAAAAAACTCTGAACAAAGGTGCCATTTACATTCTCCCTATAATAAACAGCCAATTGGCAGCAGCAATGGCAACTTGATTTCATCTACATATTACATCAGCAAGCTAAAATGCTTCACATCTTGGCTTGCATAGGAATGTTCAGGCGTTGGCTACCCTAACTCGGCTAGGTACATTAGCATAAATCACTAAGTCACCTTCTCTTCCATATTTACCTTCAATATGAAGGCAACTCTTTTAGCCTTACTGAAAATTGCTAATGTCTGTAGTCAGCATTTCCAGCACCATAAAATGCTGCACGTCTTAGTGTGTAAAATATTATTACTGTACATAATATTACACAATATTTTATTCTTAACAGTAAGTTAGGCATATATTTATGAGATTCAACAATAATACCAGTTACTGAGTTTGTACAATGTCATGAGTTACTCAGAAGACAAGGTCAATAATATACTAATTAACTGTAGAGGAAATACTGTGTTATTTGAACCCATGCCATATGCTAACTAGATGCTTGGACTATCACTAGGTGAGCGAGTGTAAACTATTTGAGAACTTGTGAATTAGTGACCAAATGGTGTGGGTTCAAACTCCATACTGCCTTTCCTTCACAATTAGTGTGAAACTTCAGCTATACAGTAGTTAGTGTGACACTTTTACAGGACACTATAAGAACTTTTGTGAAAATGCTATTCACTGTACTTCTTAAAAGACTGGCTGCCATTTACTATTTCTTGAGAACTCTGATCCAGAGAGTCATGGGAAGGCAGAAGAGGAGAGCGTTCATGCAAAGAATGCACTTGAAAACTTCCGGAAGAAGATTGCTCTGGACCAAATTCATTTTCATCCTGTTAAAATAATACAAAATATATTAATACTTGGGAGCAATGGGCTAGTAACCCCTTTCCCTGTATAAATTACTAAATTTAAAAGGAATAAACTTTTTTGTTTCTTTTAAGGTCACCATGCCCTGGTGGGATATGGCCAATTCAATGGAAAAAAAAATATTAGTACTATACAAAAATTAAGTGGCACTCTGTCAGAGTGCAGGCACTATACTTTCCACCTTGATGTGTGTCACTAAAATAACACAAATCTACAGAAAGAAATTATTTTAACTCAATGGCAATCTCTGGCCAAGGCAGAGTAACCCAAAGAAGAAAACACATTTGCCAGCATTTACTCAATCACTCTCAATCCAGAAGTGTGCTGAGATCACAATCAGGTTGTCTTCCGACTGCAACATCTCCACCCTCAAAAAAAATCTTTAGTACAGTGAAACCTCAGTTGTTGAACTTAGTTCATTCCAGATGTCAGTTCAACAACGAAAATGGATGACAACCAAAGCAATTTTTCCCATAAAGAATAATGTAAATATACTTAATCCGTTCCAGACCCCAAATGACAATACAGTGGAACCTTGACTTACGAGTGCCCCAACATATGAGTTTTTCGAGTTACAAGCCATCACTCGGTCGATTTTTTGCTGAGTTACAAGCCAAAATCCGAGTTACGAGCAAGCTTCAGAAAGCCGCCACTAGCTGGCACAGAGAATGCCACAACATCTGCTCAGCAGTGTATGTGTTTACCTTGCCGTGGAAGCATTTCTCGTGTTGTACGTACTTGCATTTTGTGCAGTTATTTTGCCAAACTTCTTTTTTCTAACCATGGGTCCAAAGAAAGTAAGTGCAAAAGACAGTGCTGAGAAGAAAAAGAGGATGATGTCCATTGAATTAAAGAATAAAATCATAGATAAACACGAGCAAGGTGTGTGGGTTGTGGACTTGGCCAGGCAGTACCAGCGTAGTACTTCTACAATATGTACGATACTAAAGCAGGAGGAGTTGATAAAAGCTATAGCGCCAGCCAAGGGCACTACAATAATTTCTAAGCTCTGAACCTCTGTCCATGAAAAGATGGAGAATTTTTTTTTTTTTATTATCACACTGGCCGATTCCCACCAAGGCAGGGTGGCCCGAAAAAGAAAAACTTTCACCATCATTCACTCCATCACTGTCTTGCCAGAAGGGTGCTTTACACTACAGTTTTTAAACTGCAACATTAACACCCCTCCTTCAGAGTGCAGGCACTGTACTTCCCATCTCCAGGACTCAAGTCCGGCCTGCCGGTTTCCCTGAACCCCTTCATAAATGTTACTTTGCTCACACTCCAACAGCACGTCAAGTACTAAAAACCATTTGTCTCCATTCACTCCTATCAAACACGTCATGCATACCTGCTGGAAGTCCAAGCCCCTCGCACACAAAACCTCTTTACCCCCTCTCTCCACCTTTCCTAGGCGATCCCTACCCCGCCTTCCTTCCACTACAGACTGATTACACTCTTGAAGTCATTCTGTTTCGCTCCATTCTCTCTACATGTCCGAACCATCTCAACAACCCTTCCTCAGCCCTCTGGACAACAGTTTTGGTAATCCCGCACCTCCTCCTAACTTCCAAACTACGAATTCTCTGCATTATATTCACACCACACATTGCCCTCAGACATGACATCTCCACTGCTCCAGCCTTCTCCTCACTGCAACATTCATCACCATGCTTCAACCCATATAAGAGCGTTGGTAAAACTATACTCTCATACATTCCCCTCTTTGCCTCCAAGGACAAGTTCTTTGTCTCCACAGACTCCTAAGTGCACCACTCACTCTTTTTCCCTCATCAATTCTATGATTCACCTCATCTTTCATAGACCATCCGCTGACACGTCCACATCCCAAATATCTGAATACATTCACCTCCTCCATACTCTCTCCCTCCAATCTGATATTCAATCTTTCATCACCTAATCTTTTTGTTATCCTCATAACTTACTTTTCCTGTATTCACCTTTAATTTTCTTCTTTTGCACACCCTACCAAATTCATCCACCAATCTCTGCAATTTCTCTTCAGAATCCCCCAAAGGGAACAGTGTCATGCAAAGGCAGCTGGCCCCCCACTTTGTGTGTGATTCTTTTCTTTTAACTCCCGCCTTGTCAAGCCTGCATTTATTCTCTTACAACCCATCATAATATTTAAAAAACCCGGTGACATAACCCACCCTTGTTAAGGCCTACTTTTAGGGGAAAAAATTTTCCCTTTTTCCTACATACTCTAACTGGCCTCACATCCTCGTAAAAACTCTTCCTGCTTTCAGTAACCTCCCTCCTACACCTACACTTGCAACATCTGCCACTTGCCCCCTTCCCCTGTCATTGCCTTTCCAAATCCAAAAAATGCACAAAGACCACTTTAGCCTTATCAAAATACTGTTCACTTACATGTTTCACTGTAAACACCTGGTACACACCCCCTACCTTTCCTAAAGCTCCTTGTTCATTGCTATCTTTCTCCGTTTTACTTTTAAATTTCTTTCAAAATAACTCTAAAAACCTTTACCGGGTTACTCAGCAGATTTATCCCCCTATAATTTTTGCACTCTCTTTTACCCCCCTTTGCTTTATACAAGGAACTATGCATGTTTCCCAACCCCTGGGTACCCCCCCTCTTCCATACATTTTTAAATAATTGCCCAACCACTCCAAAATATATCCCCCCCTCTTTTTTAAATTTTTATCTTTATCCCTCAATCCCCGGGTCCTTACCCCTTTTATTTTACCTACTGCCTCACGAAATTCCCCCCCACTCAAACTGGGTCTTCCCACTCCCACAAATGTTTTTCCTCCTTGCCCTATACACGAAAACACAGCTTCCCCATCTTTATCAACATTTAAAAAATTCCCCAAAAATATTCCCTCCATCTTCCAATACCTTAACTCTCATTTAATAATCTCCTCTCCTATTTTTAACGACAAATCCATTTGTTCTCTGGCTTCTTAACTTGTTTTTTCATCCAAAAACTTTTTTTATTTTCAACAAAATTTGTTTTAAACATTCACCCCCTCTTCATTTGCTCTCTTTTTTCATTGCTTCACCCTTCTTAACCTCTCTCTTTTTTCCATATATCTTCCCCCCTTTCATCACTTCTACTTTTTTAAAAAATTCTCATATGCTAACTTTTTCCTTTACTACTCTCTTTAATCTCTTCCCCAAACGTCCCCTTTTCCCCCCCGCACCCCCTTTCCTGTAACCCCAAACTTGCTGAACACCTTTAAACACATTTTTAAACCCACCCCCTACCCCTTGACCCCATTGCTTGCTCTCATTGCCCATCTATCCTCCAAATAGTGTTTTATCTTACCCTAACTGCTACTCTTTCGTTTAATACCTTCACCTCTCTCTTCCCTGATGCTTCTTCTTCTCCTTGTATCCCATCTACCTTTAACTCTCAGTGTAGCTACAACAGAAAGGATCTGTTATATCGTGGCCCCTCTATTAAAACATGTACATCCTGAGTCTAATCAACTAGTCTTTTATCTACAATTAATAATTACCAACAACTACTTGTCATTTCGCCTACATCAATATCTTGATTATACTTATTTATCCTCTTTTCTTAAAATATGTATTACCTATAACTAAACCATTTCTATACAAAGTTCATCAAAGGGCCTCCCATTATCATTTACTCCTGGTACCCCAATACTTACCTACACACCCTCTCTAAAAGTTTCTCCTACTTTAGCATTCAGGTCCCCTACCACAATTACTCTCTCACTTTGTTCAAAGGTCCTCTACATTCACTTAACATTATCCCTAAAATCTCTCTCTCTCCTCTGCATTCCTCTCTTCTCCAGGTGCATACACTGACTTATTATGAACCACTTTTCGCATCCAACCTTTACTTTAATCCACATAATTCTGAATTTAACACCATTTCATATTCTCTCTTTTCTCCTTCCATAACTGATATTTAACATTTCTGTACCCCCTTCCTTTGCTCTACCTCTCTCCGATACTCCAGGATTTAATTCCCATTTATTTACCCCACTGTGAACTCTCCTACCCCCTTCAGCTTTGTTTCGTTTAGGGCCGGGCACCCAACTTTTTTCATTCAAAACATCGCAATCATTGTTTTTGTCCCCGCACTACCCACGCACATTTAAGCATCCCATTTTTAAAGTTTTTCTTCTCTTTTTTAGTAATTGTCTACAGGAGAAGGGGTTACTACCCCTTTGCTCCCGGGCATTTTAGTCCCCTATACGCACGCATGTTACGGGGGAAAAAGTTCTTTTCACTTCCCCATGGCCAATAAAAGAAAAAAAGAAGAAAAAGAGTTTTTAAAAAAAGGGGAAAAACCCTGATGTATGTTAATTATGCAAGTCGTGTCTGTGAAGTGTGACCAAAGTTTAATAGGAGTAGAAGATACCCCTGTTTCTAGGTGTTTATGAGCAGAAAAAGATGGAAAAGCTGTGTTAATGGACCTTGCCAATTATTTCGAAAACTTATTTTAAAACTCCTCCGATAAAAGTGAGGAAAGGTGGAGAAAAAAGGGAAAATCAGTGAAAAAATGAAGTGAAAAAAAAAAAAAAACAAATTGCAGCATTTAAATTCAGCAATAAAAAAGTAGCATTAAAAGTTTTAGCAGTAGCCACTTTTCCCCCTCTCCTCCACCTCCGCCGCATCTGTTCTCCAAGGTAAATACATACATTTATAAAAAACCCGTTTTTTTCTTTCATTTCCATTATGTTTTTATACAATATTTTTTTTTTTCAACAGTCGGCACGTCCAAACCCACGGGTGACCCAAAAGAAGAAAATCCCAAAAGAAAATACTTTCATATCATTCAACACTTTCACCTACACACACCATAATCCACTGTTTTTGCAGAGGTGCCAGAATACAAAGTTTAGAGGGAAATGTATGAATTAACGTATAAAAATACTACAATATATCATCTTTCCAAACTGCCAATATCTCAGTCACCCCTCCTTTTCATAGTATTGCAGG